TATAATTGTAATAAAATTTTAAAAACGTACTAATAAAAATATACGTATAAATGAAAATATCAGTATTTTTATAAATTTCCTTTTTATTTAATGTTATTAATTTTAATTACTTTTTAATTGTAATAAAATTTCATGAAATTACATATTAATTTTATAGATAATTAAACACACATTTATGAAATATTTATTATTATCATCGTTAACGTCGTCGTTGTTGTTATTCATATGAACACATAAATAAGATTGTAATGAAAACTATTACGATTTCTGATGAAATTAGAAATTGGAAATTATAATTAGGAACACACAAGTAAGTCATATGTATGTAATCTTGTTTTTAAGATTCGATTTATTAATAATAATTTATTAATCGATTTATTAATAATAATAGAAAATAATTGTGATTTGTAGATGTACATTGTAAACGTATGGGATGATATAAATCATAAAAACAAGAAAAACATAAATATTTACTGCATTGTGAATATCTTACGAAAATTTTTGTTGCAGACACAATAACTTTTTTTAATATCTGGCGAAAAGCAGATTTGATAGCCATTATGAAAATAGCTTCTTTTAGGAATCAATTTTGGTGAAAACAAAATTTTTTATTCTAAAATAAAATTCATTCCAAAATTCATTTGTAAGATGTTCATAATAAATATTTATGTTTTTCTTATTTTTATGATTAATATCATCCCGTACAATGAATGTCTACAAAACATGATTAGTTTTCTATTATTAGTCACCTGGTCATTATTAGTTCCCCTTGTCAGTGTAACTATTAATTTTTTGAACTAGTTACGTTATTCACTCCGGCCATCATAGAGATTGGAAATGAGATTCTGCTATTCACTACAAAAAAATAAAAAATTTATGTTACATATACTTTACAAAAGAAAAGAAGCAAACGGTACAGTTTGCGCAATTCTTATAGTTGCCTAATTAGTTCTACCGTGTATCGTGTAATCGCATTCTGATCGCATCCAATCAGGATGGGAGCCATAAGACTAAAAATCCTATTCTTGAAAAGTATCGTATACGAAAAGCTAAAGAAATTCTATAATATTATATATGTAACGCATACTATATCATTTTCCTAGTTGCGTATGCGATACTTTTCAAGAATAAGAGTCCTGATTTCTCCAATCTCTTTCGTGCCTATGGAACTTTTG